CATAATCAATGGACCTATTATTCCTTTAAGGGCAGCGAGCAGCAGGTTTCCTGCTACAACTCTCTCAACGTCGGCAGCAAATACTTGCTGCAAAGAAAATAATAAACAATAGTAATAAAAGCACTGAAAATTCTGCCTGAATGAGTATATTTGCTGCTTGCCTATTTCTCTTGCAGCATGTCTTTGCCAGGCTGGCAATAAACATTTATTTATAACCGCAATTATATATATATTATTACAATAAATCAATGAATTAATATTGAAGTTTACAGAATTCAATAAAGTTCACAATAAATCAATAAATCAATATTGAAGTGTACAAATCGTCTGCTTGTCTATCCGCCCATCTGTCTTGTCTCTGCGATCTCCCCGAGTGGTAGTGCTGTGTGTGGCTCAATGCACAACCTGGAAAAAATGAACGAAGCACACATTACATGTATGGCAGTGCAATGTTGTTTAGGACTCACCTGTCCTCTCCCGAGGACAGACGATAGTGGATGGATGCTGGAATCTCGTCTGCTTGTCTATCCGCCCATCTGTCTTGCCTTGATATCTTCCAGAGTGGTAGTGCCGTGTGTGGCTCAATGCACAACATGGAAAAAAATAAACGAAGCACATTACATGTATGACAGTGCAATGTTGTTTACGACTCTCCCGAGGACAGACGATAGTAGATGGATGCTGGAATCTCGTCTGCTTGTCTATCCGCCCATCTGTCTTGACTCCGATTTCTGATGACAGTGATAGAAACAGCAACGTGGCTAAATAAATAGCCCTATATTCACAAAAAAGTTCACAATAAATCAATGAATCAATATTGAAGTTTACGAGAATTCAATAAATTTTACAATAAATAATGAATCAGTAATGCACAACCTGGAAAAAAATAAACGAAGCACATTACATGTGTGGCAGTATACGTGTCCCAGTAAACAGTGCAATGTTGTTTACGACTCACCTGTCCAGTGAATGGATGCTGGAATCTCGTCTGCTTGTCTATCCGCCCATCTGTCTTGTCTCTGCTCTCTCCCCGAGTGGTAGTGCCGTGTGTCGCTCATGTCGAGAGGAAAAATTGAACAAAAAACATTACAATGTGTGGTACTACCAATATATATATATATATATATATATATGCGTAAGAATATGTACAATACAAGTATGTAAAATACTCACCCGACTCGTGGAGTGTCTGGTTTTGTCGTGGAGCAAGACCTGGTTGACTGGATGGGGACTCACTCTGGAAACATTGAACAACAAGAGCAGCAAACAACGAAGCCAAATCACATGGGAGCAATACGTAGAATGTAAAATATAATAATGTAAAATATAATATATGTAAACACCACCTCGTTGACTTGGTGTCAAGTAGGTGCAGGGTTTGAATCACTCTTAGTCTGACTCCTCTTCTTTGGCCGGTTCAGCATGGTTAGACCATTGCTGACCTCAACCTCAGAATCACAGGAGTACGCAAGCCCCCACACGACGGCAACGTGGCGATTCATTGTGGGGGACCTAAAAAACAAAACAAAGAAAAGATAAAAACACACAAAACAATACAATTATCTTGATATATCAACCTAATATAAATAAAGAAATAAATGAATATATACCTGTGGGTATTTCACGTCGTATCCCTTGTATAAATGCTGCTTCGTTTCTGCATGTCATCCCATATCTGATTTCTCTTCCTTCCTCTTTGATCACTTGCAAAATGGGTTGGTTGGTTGAGTTTAAAGGACGTCATGAGTTTAGAGCCAAGGGGTTGAGAGGCGAGGGGTTTAAGGTAGAGTTTAGAGGCAAGGGATTTAGAGGTAAGGGGTTTAAGGTAGAGTTTAGACGTCATGAGTTTAAAGGTAAGGGGTTGAGAGGCGAGGGGTTTAAGGTAGAGTTTAGA